CGCGCTACGTGAACTTGCGGGCGGTCACGCAAGGGGCGGCCGAGCGGTTTCTGTCAGGATATGTTCAAGGCGTTGGGCGTTTTTCTGTTCAGTTGGTCGGTCCTGAGACAGCCCCTAGCTTGACCCCGTCCGCCATGGTTGACGCGGCTGCACGTGACTTGGCAGGGCCAGGGCTGATTTTCCAAGGAGGACGCCGTTGAAGTGGCCCGCCTGCGCAGCGCTGTTGCCGAGATCCGCCGTGCAGGCGCCCATCTGCCTGGTGAGCCAGGACCCGTCTTGGCGGGTGCGTCCACGGTGGGAGAGGTCGACAAAGCCATTGCTATGCTGAAGCCGCGCAAGGCCACAGTCCGAGGCACGAATGCGGCCGCGTTGGCTGAGTTCCCAGCTGGCCGCGGACTCATGTGTCCACTGATGAAACTGAGTCGGTCTTCTTGCGTCAAGGCCCGTTTGCGGTCCTTGCGGCAGCACTCGAAGATTCGCAAAGGTCTGGCCCGCTAGTCATTCGCAGCACCTCATGTCTCCGGCCCATGTCGCATGCGTGTGAGATGGCGTCTGTCCAGGACGCCCTTAGGGACCTCCGCAACGCCGTCGGTTTGGAGGCCTATGCTGGCCGCGCTCAGCGGGGGGGGGCGGCGACCCCGTTTCCCTGGTGCTTGCCTTCGTAGTTCATGCGCAGGTGAGGGATTCGCAGGACCTCCCCTCGTGGTGGGCTCTTGCAGACGGGAAGCGGGCCTTCGACGTGGCATCCTTCGACGCCATGCTGGTGGGGCTGTTTCAAGCGGGCGTCGGAGGGCCCGATTGGCTTTTGCTTGGTGACACTCTCGCGCAGGATCACCAGCGCTTGTGTCTCCATGGCTTGTTGAGTTCGGTGTTCGTTCTTGGTTGTGGAACGGCTCAGGGCCGCCGTTTCCCGGCCCCTGTTTTCAACGCCCAGTTGCGCTGGCTTGCCGACATGGTCGCGCGCGTCATGCCTGGGGCCTAGGGGCTGCGCCACCGTAGCTGCGCTCGCCAAGCTTTCCACGAGGCGTTGGAGACGTCGCCGCCTGCCGCGACCCGCCCCCCCCCGCGGGGGGACATTCCGGTGGCGGAGCTCGCGCGGGAGGCGACGCGTATCGCGGGGGCGGAGAGAGCGCCGCACCCGTGTGCGCGCTGGCTTGCGCGCGCGGCCCTGCAGGAGTTGCAGTCGTTGGCGGGCGGGGTGGCATTTGTCGACATGTCGAGTCCTCCGGGTCGGACTTGTTGCCTCCTCCTCCTCCTCCTCCTCCTCCTCAGTTCGTTGATGATCTCACCGCTCCGTGCCCTTCGGAGGGCGCGGTCCGAGGGGTCCTGGGTGATGAGCCCCGACTGCGGCATGCAACAGGCATGCCCGCAGGGTCAAGGCACGCATCAACGACGGCCCAGGAAAGTCGCGCGCGCTGCCGTCGCCGAGCGCCCCCGCCCCAGCTGGTGCGCTATGCCCCGCGGTTGGCACCGGGGGGCCCCTCGGGGCCCTGGTCGACGCAGGTTTCACTTTCCAGCCCTTGTCGCGCGAATGTGTCGCCCGCGGCCAAGTTCTTTCTGACGGGCTCTTCGCAGCAGCCTTGGCCGGGGGATTCTCGATCCCCGTGGCCGCGGCCCAAGTCGATCCTCTATCCTTGCCTTTTGTTGGCTGGGGTACCGGGGGCCGAAGCAGCCTTCAACGGGCTGCAGGGGGGTCTGGGCGAGGGAGCTGCTTGGCTGCCAGAAAGGGCCGCCCCTTCGCCACAGCGTCTTGGCGGCGCAGTGCGACTGGCCTCTGCGCCTGGGGAAGAGGTTCGTGGAGCGGGCGCTCGTGGCCCGCGCTCGCGCCGACGTGCTCGCAGAGGGGCATCCAGCGTCTACTGTGGGCACGGCCGCAGCGGAACTGCCAATGGGGTCTTGGCTGACGGGCGCGGCTGCGCTGACTCGCGCACTCCCGCCCCCCCTGCTGCCCATCACCGAGCACCCTGCTTTTGCGGGGGCCCTGGTGGACGCGGCGAAGCGCTGCCCCTCGGCGCGTCGAGCGCTCCTCCAAGTCTATAAATTGCAAGTGCTGCGGCCTGCGATGCTGGAATATGACCGCGCAGCCTACCAGGAACCAACTGCGCCCATCCTTGCCGCCCTTGGCTCCTCCTTCGCGGCCGTCTGTCCCGCCGCGCCATCTTGGCCACTATTGGATTTGCTGGGAGTTGAGCGGGGGCCGGCGCTCTTGGCTGACCTCCGTGCTTGGGCGCTCGTCCGGATGAGTGGCGCCTGGCTTTTGCCCGTTTTCGGTGGAGATCCCCTCCCCTACGCCGTGCCCACTTGCCCTTGGCGTGGGGCATCGCCGGCTTCAGGGCGGCATGCGCTGGTCGAGTGCCCTGGGGCGGCTCCGGCGTGCCTGACTTTGAGGGCGTCGCCGGTGCCCCCGCGCGAGGCGCTGGACTTTTTCCTCCGTTGCCTTTTTGCTGAGGGCGCGACGATGGCCGACCGAGCCGCCCGCCTTGCTTATATGATATGTGGGGGGCGTGGTGCTTTCCGCTCGTCTGCGCGTCGTCCTCGAGTCTGGCTCGTTGCAGCTGGCTGGAGGGGGGGGCCGAGAGGCGGGCTAGTCCACGCGCACTTGTTGCGATTCAGTCTGCGTAGCACGCGCCGCGCGCGTCGTCCGCGCCCCCTGGTGGCGGGGCGCCGCGGGAGGGGCGCAGTCCGAGCGCGGCCGCGACTCCGTCTCACTTCGCCGGCGCCGCGGAGGACGTGAAGGGCGGGGCACGCGAAGCGCAGGCCGCCGCCCTGTCCGCCCGTTTGTTTGTTGCTCGCCTTGCGACGCGGCGGGGCGCAGACATGGGTGTGAGGGACCATTTCCTGCGATGCGCCAGTCGCACGCCTTGGGGTTCCGCCGTGCGTGGCGGCAGCGCCGGGGCGCGGCGGGCCGGGGCGCGGCGGGCGCCCGCGGCGGGCGGCCGCCCGCAGACCCGGACGCCGCCTGCGCGTGAAACTGAAGGTGACAAGTGAATACTACTACTACTACTACTACTACTACTACTACTACTACTACTACTACTACTACTACTACTACTACTACTACTACTACTACTACTACTACTACGACTACGACG